CCCCCAGAACCCTACAGCCCGGCCGTTTGGGTGATGATGTTCGTCATGTGCCTCACGGTGGTGGCCGTCACCGTCTTCATCTTCGAGTACTTCAGCCCCGTGGGCTACAACCGCAGCCTGGCCGCCGGCCAGCGTGAGTGTGTCGCCTCCCCCCTCCGCGCCCCAACACCCTGCCGGTATCGGGGTGACGACCCCGTTGTCACCACGGGGAGGTGGGGACGGGGCGGGCGAGGAGGACACGGGGTGACAAGAGGGGACACGGGGGGACGTGGTATCGGCACGGCTCCGGTGTCACCCCCCCTCCTGGGTGTCCCCAAGGAGTGTGGAGGAGCTGGGCGGGTGTCCCCCCCTCCCTGTGGTGACACTGTCCCTGTCCCCGGGGTAACACTGTTCCCATTCCCACGGTGACGCTGTCCTCACCCTCCCTGTCCCTGTGGTGACACTGTCCCTATCCCCACTGTCCCCATCCCTGGGGGTGACACTGTCCCTGTCCCCAGGGTGATGCTGGCCCCACGGTGACGCTGTCACGGTCCACATCCCTGTGGTGATGCTACCCCTGTCCCCAGGGTGACACCGTCCCCATCCCCATGGTGGTGCTGTCCCCGTCCCTGGGGTGACACCGTCCCTGTCCCCACGGTGATGCTGGCCCCACAGTGACGCTGTCCCCGGCCCCACGGTGACGCTGTCACGGTCCACATCCCTGTGGTGATGCTACCCCTGTCCCCAGGGGGACACCGTCCCCATCCCAGCTGTCCCTGGGGTGACACCGTCCCCATCCCCATGGTGGTGCTGTCCCCGTCCCCACGGTGATGCCGTCCCTGGGGTGACGCCATCCCCAGGGTGACACCATCCCCATGGTGATGGTGACCCTGAGGTGACATCATTCCTGTCCCCACGGTGATGGTGTCCCTGGGGTGACACCACCCCCACGGTGATGGTGACCCTGAGGTGACATCATTCCTGTCCCCACGGTGATGGTGTCCCTGGGGTGATGCCGTCCCTGTCCCTGGGGTGACATCATTCCTGTCCCCACGGTGATGCCGTCCCTGGGGTGACGCCATTCCTGTCCCCATGGTGATGGTGTCCCTGGGGTGACGCCGTCCCTGTCCCTGGGGTGACATCATTCCTGTCCCCACGGTGATGGTGTCCCTGGGGTGATGCCGTCCCTGTCCCTGGGGTGACATCATTCCTGTCCCCACGGTGATGCTGCCCCTGGGGTGACGCCGTCCCTGGGGTGTCACCATCCCCATCCCCA